TCTCGAACTCCTGACCTTGGGTGACCCACCCGCCTTGGCCTCCCAAAGTGCTGGGATTACAGGCGTGAGCCACCGTGTCCAGCCAATTTTCCTATATTTTAATAAAGATGGAGTCTTGCTATGTTGCCTAGCCTGATCTCAAACTCCTGGCCTCAAACAATCCTCCCACCTCAGCCTCCCAAACTGCTGGAATTACAGGCATGAGCCAGCACACTTGGCCTCAAAATAGTTTTTAAAAATTTCCTTTGACATTTAGTATTTAATCAGTATTTAAATAATATTAGAAGTTTTTTACTGAAGCAATATCTGATATTCACTATTTTTTTAAAAAATATTACAGGCCGGGACACCTATTAGCTATTAGTTTATCATGCATTTTTACTTACACAGTATTTGAGATCAGAGATGTTTACATTGACCCCAGTTGCTCTCTTTAGATTCTCATCATGTGACACTACAACTTGTTCATCTTTTGTGATATGGCAGTCCAATTCTAGCATATCAGTTCCGATTTTAACCGCACTGAAGAAATAAAAGAAGAATGATATTCTGACACTTAAGTATACATTTAGGTTACACACATCAGATCTAACAATTCAGAGTTACAAATCCAAAATCCCATAATATTAAAATATCTCAATACCATCACCTAGTATGACTTATTCACATGAAAATATTCTAAGTGAATTGAGAATAAAATAATCATGTTGCCTCCTTTCCATAACCAGTTATCCTTAATTCTTCAACTGAATATAATAGAATACTGAATCTGAAGTTAAGAGATTTGATATTAACTCCTGCTTTGCTGTGAACTTGCATAACTTTGGGCAAGTAAATTCTTCTCTCAGGGACTACATTTTCACTTCTATAAAATGAAAGGATTAAATAACAAGACAAGGACGCTTGCTTTTATTTTTATTTATTTAATTTTTTTGAGACAGAGTCTTGCTCTGTTGCCCAGGCTGGAGTGCAATGGCATGATCTTGGCTCATTGCATCCTCAAACTCCTGGGCTTAAGTGATCCTCCTGTCTCAGCCTACTGAGTAGCTGGAACTACAAATGGATGCCACTGTGCCCAGCTAATTTTTTATTGGGCTCATGTGATCCTCCTGCTGCAGCCTCCCAAAGTGCTAGGTTTAAAAGCATGAGCCACTGCACCTGGTCACTTTTATTACTTTGATTTAACATAGTATTGAAAGCTCTAGCAATTAGGCAAGAAAAAATTAATAAAAGCATCCAAATTGGCCAGGCGCAGTGGCTTACACCTGTAATCCCAACACTTTGGGAGGCCAAGGCCAGCGGATCACCTGAGGTCAGGAGTTTTGAGACTTGCCTGGCCAACAGGGTGAAATCCCAT